GTCCCTTTTGGAAACGTGCGAGTGCGCCAGGCGGTGACCTGGGGAGGGGCAAGGAGGGCCGCGAGCTGAGCATGTGCGCCCGGAGAGACGTGGCGCTGACCTCATCCCGAGGCGGCCTGCAGGTTATTTATGAGGTCTGATTTAAAAATAGTGGCTGCCAGGGAAGTGAAAAAGGAGCTCACCCCAAGCTATGAGGGAAGGACGGTTGCAAGAATGCTGTTTATGACGATATAAATCAACGTGGAGCTGGCGATGGGAAATATGGAGAGAGTGAGTTTGGGAGAGAAACAAGGAAACCAAGTCAAGAAGGAAAAATGAGTTTTCCTCCTCTGCCCGGCCCACTCCCGCAATCCCTCCCTTCCCCGGGCGCCCACGGTGCCAGCGGGGAGGCTGGCAAAGGGTGAGCGCGCCCGTCCCCACCAGGGTCTTCCCTAAGTTAAATGAGGCTCGTTAGAGGGCGAGGGAATACATGTAAATAAACAACTTGGAAGATTTATGGGAAGGAGTTCAATTTTATAGGACTGTATTTATAGAGCCAGCGCTGGCTCACTTATAAATAGATTAATGGGAGGCTAAAATTAATGGACTTGTGAGCTGCGCGTTTAATTTCTGAGGCTTCAACATGACAGACAAGCGCCCTGGAAGACCTGGCTCGGGAGGCAGCTTGTGTTGGGGAGTCCAGAGCGCCCTCAAGAAGGGGCAGATCCCATTGGGCCCGCATTTCTCTGGTGGCTCTAAGCTCAGGCCGCCCTGGGTCCCTAGGAAGAGATCCCACGGGGCTCTTATTTGCATGAAGAAAAAGAACGTGGCCTCATAAAAAAAATAATGGGATCTTCCTCCTCGCGTTATTTTTAACCAGGGCCCTTAAGCCGCTAATACCGGCAGGCAGGCCGGCTTTGGGAGAACTGTAAACAGCTCGCCCGCGTGGGCCGCCTCCAGGCAGGCAGGGGCAGCAGCCACACTTGTCCCAGGTCACCTAGGGTCCCCGCGCTGGGTCCACTGCTGCAGGTCTTTCCTCGCCCCCTCTGCAGCCCGGTAAGACAGTAACAGAGAGGCTGAGGAGCTCCGACAGGCAGCCCAGGGCCCTTCTGTTAGGCAAAGCTAACCGACCTTTCCCTTCCCTTCCCAATTTGTCCTTCCAGGTCTTCCCTCTAGATTTTTGTTGTTGTTTGTTTTTGCCCTTACATTCAGGGCCCTCGGGATCTTGGGTTTTACCCAGTAAAGGTGATTGTCTCCGATCCTCTCCTTGTCCAGTGGTGATGGGTAGGGGTGATGGAGGTCTGTAATTTACCTGTGGGATAATAGATGGCAGGTCTGTTTCTCCGGAGCTAGAGCTAAACTTTATGTAGAGACATTTGCCATGGGATATGGAAATTACTCATCGCCCTCTTTGTGTAATCCCCGCGGTTACCAACACTCACTCTCCAAAACGCAAATGAAAGGGAAGCTCAATATAATACCGTTGAGCCAGAGACATAGATTTACGCCTATATTCTTTCTAGATGAATGGATTGCACGCCTTCTTTATCACACTTCCCTTGGTTTTTCTTCCTTCCTTCTACTTCCCTTCCTTTGGAGGGGGGGGGGTCTTTTCTTTGATTCAATCATGTATAGCTCTAGCCATGATGCACCCCCCCCCTTTTAATTAATAAAGAAGACCTGGAAAAAAAAGTCCCTGGGAATGATTACCTGAAAAACACAAAAGTGATACAGGAGGCATTTTATTAAATAACTGAGCACCAACTATATGCGAAGTACTCTCATACCCTGATCTTATCAAGATTTAACTTTGCCTATTTTCCTCAAATGTATATACACACTGCTTTTTCTGCTTTTAATGATTCGGCAATGTTGATGTTGGAAAGGACCTTAGGAGGCCCACATTTTATAGATAAAGACCTTGAGTTACAAAAAGAAACAGTGACTCCTCCAAACTGTGTAACATCTTGGACGACTTTATTTTCCTAGCCTCGGGGAAGACGCCCAAGCCTTCGGATGGAATACAGATTGAGATGTTTGATCACTGCAGCCCATTAGGACTGGGCTGCAGCCCATTAACCCAAATGGGAAAGGCTCTGGCTTCTCTAAGCCTCTGAGCCTAAGGTAGGAACCAACCTCCTAAGAAAAGCTCCGCCTTTGGTCCTCTGGGTCAAGGGTCTTTTTCCTCATTTGTTCATGGAGGGCCTTGCACTGCTTATGAGGTCAGAGTTGGGCTCAGTCCTGAAGTGAGCCAGTTAGCTCCTCCAGATCCCAGATCCCAGGGTTTTGGGGTGCGGCAGCCCATACATGGCCCTATGGGCATCTCTCCTGAACCCTCTCCTTCAAGGAACACTGTGCCAGACGCTGTACTACTAGCAGTGAGGAGAGGAACATCATCTTTTATTTGCACCCAGAGCCCCTGTAGGTGCTGAGACATGTCACTAAATGTACGTATTAGAAAGTAAGTTTGACGCCTCATTCTTTAAAAGGGCAAAATAAAGCAAGAGATACCATTAACATGAGCTTTTATTGCAACTTGGTTAGAAAAAGGAGAGAAGAGTGTCAGTTTGGAATTTTAAAACACCTCTACTGAAAACAAAAGTGTCAGTTTTTCTGAGAAGCGAAATTTATTGTATTTATGATGTAACAAAGACATTGCCTGTGTTTTGGTGAGGGGAGGACAAAAACCTCTTGGCTAGGGTTGGAGTTTTCTGTCTGTTAATTTCTGAATTAAACAATTTCCATATTCAAGAAACTGAGGATGAAAACACAACAAAAACACAACGATCTTTTTATTTATGTAAATCAGATCAACACTGGACAATAAACCAATTTCTACCCATTACCATAACAGCTTGTCTATAAAGAACAGAAAAAGTCAGATAGGATTCTATCTAGGGTCAAGCGGGTTTTTTGTGTTTTTTTTTTAACCACCCATTCACAGAGGTATAGATTCACAGATAAATAATCCCAAACTACTTGCTCGCATATTTACACATTCCCATTAAATTAAGCATAAATAAATATGTACAAACTTAACATGGACACCCTCCCGCGCTCTTCTCCTGAAGAGTCGACAGATTGAAGTTATGTGGCAAAAACTATGTTAGTGAATTAGAGACCAACTCAGAGGAGTCAGTTTTGACCTTTAAAGAACAGTTCTTGTTCCGCTTTTAAAAAGAAAACAAAACTAATTTTGATATATTTTTTCTTTTCTTCCCTCTCCCCCATAATTTAACATACATCAGCACAGGAGGGAAAACACTGTGTGGGCTCTTGAGGCAACATCAGACGGTTTAAGGTTATTTCCTTTCCCTGTAATGTATTACCCTTCCAGGATATCAGATGTGATGACAAATTCTCTCTAAACACTCCAAGGAGGAACAAGTTGCCATTTTAAGTAAAGCTTTGTACCGGAGAGACAGTGTGTAGATAAGTTTGGGGTTTCAGGTTTTCCATTCGACCAACGTTTTCTTAGGATATGAAATAATTGCTCGAGAGAAAGTAGTTTCTGTGGCCAAAGAAAATAAAACAGCCCCCAGTCTCTGAAAAGCCTCTTCGGTTCTTTATGTGGGGGGGTGGAGAAAGCTAAGGATGTGGAGCCAGAGAGGGGGAAAGAAAGTTCAAGAAAATTGGGGCAGGGCAGGGGTGGGGTACCCTCCGAGTTTAGGGGAGTTGTTCAAGATCACTTTGAGATGGGATGCTCACCCAGAACCAGAGCCACTATTTGCGGGGAAGGGGGGAAGTGCCCCCCGAGACTGGCAATTCCTATAGGAAGAGGCAGGTGGACGAGAATGGTCGGGGAAATCGTTAGAACCTCCAAAGGAACTTGCAAAGTGGAAAGTGTGAGGGGCCGCAGGCTGCGTCCTGACTGCTCCTTTCTATCTTTAGTGCTTCTGGTTTGGGCCAGAGCATCAGGGAGGAGGCCCTGACCTGATAAAATTGTCTAGAGAGAGTAGGGTGGGGGGAGAGCTGCAACTCACCTGTTTGGTTTGAAAACAAAACTCAGAAAAGCTCGCTTTAAAAAAAGGCAAACTCTTGCGTTAATCCTGTTTATTGATTTATGGGCCCGAGGAAACCCAATCTTCTAATAACTCAATTACCAGATAAACATAGCGGGCCTGGCTAAGGAAAGCAAGGGGGCGGGGTGGCACAGGAAAGAAGTGCAAAAGGGCGAGGGCCAGGGCTGTCTCCACCCCGGGTTGGGGGCGGAGGAGACTCGCATCCAGCCCTACTGGGTGGGGCGTGGGAGGAACTTGGGAATGAGGGTGCAGGACCACGCAAGCCTGAGCAGCCAAGTAAGACCATTCCTATTCCATCACCCGCTTCTGGAGCCTGAGGATGGAGAGAGTTTTCGTCCTAGCAAAGGTGGGGGAAACTCCGGTTCCCTGGACAGTTCTAGGCCACTCGCCGCCCTCCAGGAGCAGGCGCCCCGGGGTGGCCGCTGGGAGCAAAGCGCCTAGGCTGAGACCCCTCCCCGCCTGCAGCCCCCAGGACGCCTCCCCATTACCTACTGGAGAGTGGGGCTATCTCGGTCGCCTTAGCCCTTAAGATGAGACCGAGAGCGGGAAGGGCCCAGGCGGCCCGCGGCCCCTCCAGCGGCTGATTCTATGTCCTCAACACGACTGGGCGCGAGTGGCCCACGCGCTCTCAGGACCTGCACAGTAAGAGCAAGGCGCGTCCATCGCGTCTCTCGCACGTCACACGCGTGGGGCGCGTTGCCCTGCAAGGAAAGGAGACGATGGTTTTCAGTGTGGTTTCTCCTGGCCTTTGGCAATCAGAATACATCTAATACCAGCGGCCAGGCCCTCGGATCAAGGCGCAGGCTTCTGAGCTGGGGAGAGATGGAGTGTCTAATTCTCCCTAAGGTCTAGTTCCCGGCCTTGGTACTCCTTCCACTCTTCTAGGGCTGAGCCCCCCAAGGAGCTGGCAGCGTCACCTTAACCCTTGCTTGGACCCTCCTGGTGACCTGAAACCAGCTCCCTAACTCCCTCCCCCATAAAAAAAAAAAAAAAAAAAAAAAGTCTGCGCAAAGCTCTCTGCAGCTTCCTAAACCCAGCCCTTCAACCTTCCGAAGCCAAGACCCACCCTGGCGGCAGAACTGAGCGTCCCAGAGAGTCCTAACTGGAAACCCCTTTATCTTCAAGGGATGTAGCAAACGTCCTAAAGTCTACTTTGTATAAAGAGGTCTCTGTATGATACTAAATTCAGAGAACTACCTCACCCACCCCTCCCCAGGGGACTTCCCACCGCTTTTGGGAGGGTGGGGACAATGGGTTCCAGATCTTATTTTCAGATAAAACTCAAGAAAGGAGAGGGGCTGCCAGGAGAGAGAGATCTTAAATGCATGGAACTGTATCCACTGGGAATAGCCCCAGTACTGTATATCCAGACGGTGAAATTCAAAGCTGAAATACATCTCCTTTCACTTTGCATTATTTTAGCATCATATACCAAAACAAGTGCACGCCTGGGAGAGGGAGAGTGCCTCATTCATAAAGCATCTTGTAAGAAAGCAATTGTTGTTGAAACATGGGAGCTTGCCCCCACCACTCCCCACGACATTGCCAAAGCTGCTTCTCTGCCCGCTAACATAGCAGTCGCCAAAGAGCCCAAGGAAATAGAACCAATTTTAAAGGCAGGGCAGTACTGTTAAAATAGCGGGCTCCCAGAACCCTTACTCCTCTCCCCTAACATTCGTTTTGCAGTTCAGCCGTTCCACAGAATTCCGCAATGAGGTATCTGTTAGCAACTAGACCCAGAGCTGCTTCCATCTCTTATTGGCCACTTCCTAAATTATTCCCTTTGAGCTTCTTTAAAGAAGTGCCCCTGCAGAATTCTGACACACAGGCTTTGATTAAAAAGGGATCGGATTTTTTTTTTTCTCTGTACCTTATAGATTGTGTAGGAAGCCCCAGTCCTCTTTGAAGAAGCTCATAAACCATGCGGGCAAAGCTTTGGAAAACAGAAGAGAATGAAATGGTACATACCCCTCCGAAGGAATTACATACTAATCAACGTATTCATATTGTGGTGTGGGTTTGTTTTTTTCTTTTTACTATTATTCTTAAAATTGGTAGATGACACAAATATAACAAATGCAAGATTCTCTGTATGCCGATGCTGGCAAGGCTGGGAACTAGTAACATTTCTGAAAAGAACTGATGATGAGTCTGAATCAACCTATGGGTCCGGATTTGGCTCAGGGCGGGTACCAGAAGCTGCAGCCACCGCCGCCTGCATCTCCGATGGCCTCCCACCCCGCCCGCCCTCGCCCTCCCTAAGTAGGCAAGCGGCTGGCCCGGAGCCGGCACCGGTGAGTTTGAAACGCGGGGCGGGGCAGGGGGGCCGAGGGGCCTGAAACACAAGGCAAAAGGCCTAACCACACTCTCGTTCATCCCGGCAGACTCCCGTGACAGCTCGAGGGAGGGAGAGAGGGAGGGAGGGAGGGAGGGCAGACTAGAAAAGGGTAGTTGGGAGAAGGGCGAGGTGAGGGGGGAAGGGCGGGGACTCGCGAGACAGTTTCCTAAAAATATATCAAAAATTAAAAAGTTCGTGCGATTCAGTCAACCAGCTGTCAAAGCACTGACACCAACAGTTTCTCCGATTTTCTTCCAATAAGTTAGCGTTTTCTCACGTTTAGTCTTACGTTTATTTTTCCAAAGGGGGTGGGGGGGAAAACATGGTTTTCTTTTATTATCAGTATGACTAAGCTCGAAAGGAACCGAAGTGGAAAATCCGGACGGTTGTCTCCAAGTGCATCTTGCCATAGACACTGAGAACCGATAGTTGCTCCGTGGTACGCCTCAGTTTTTAAGTTACTTAGCTGTTCTGTTTTAATTTTGATTGCATATGTATTCTACCTAATATAATTCTTCCAAAGCCAATCCAGTATTTTAAAGCTAAAGTTAATTTTTTTTCCTGTTTTCCTTTTGTATTTAAAACATTTTTTTTCCTTTTTTTTTTTTAATTTTTCATTTCCTGTGTTTCTCTTCCTTGTCGCCAGTTTTACTACCTGGGCCTTCCCCAGACGTGTGCCTGTTAGTGGCGGTGTTGTTCAAGAACAGCTTGTCCATGCCTTTGAGCGCCTCGGTGAGATAGTTCTGCAGGGCCGTGAGCGCCGCGCAAATGGCCGGGGCGCCGAAGCCGTGCGTGATGAGGCTGAAGTGCGTGAGGCAGCTCTGGATCCCCGGCTCCAGGATGGGGCTGGGCCGGCTGTTCCCAATCGGCGTCCGGTCCTGCGCCAACAGATCTGTAAATTCTTTACAAAGTTGCCTGCAAAAAGGTGGGAGAGGAGCAGGAAGAAAAAAAAAAAATCACCCTTCGTGTCGTTGTCATTGACATTAGGAAGGAGATGCTCACACAAGCCCAGAGGCGCCCGGTCACCGTCGAGCCAGCCGGGGCGCGAGGCTAATGTGAGCGATTCCGCTCTGTTTCCTTTCCCAGCGCTCGCCCTTCTAGAGCAGCTGGGGCTGGAAGGAAAGCGGGGGGGTGGCGAGAGTATACACCCCTTGCATCCCACCGCCTATCTTCCCCCCATCCCCTCCCTCCAGTCTCCCCCGCCCCCCTTCGTTCCAGGACTGTGTAACTGCTTTGAGAAATCTGCTAGGCTTTAGCGATTGATTTTGAATATTCAGCCATTTTTAGCTCTCACCTGGCTGTTCTTTTAAAAACCCTTCCCCCTCCCTTCCCCCCTCCTTTCCCCTGCCTCTCCAACCTCTTGGTTATCAGGCTCAAAAAGCCCTGAAAGATTTCAGCCCCTGGGCCACACGCCTGTCCCTGGCACAGAAGCAGATTGCTGGAGCCTTGCATGGCCCAGGGCAAGCAACTGTTTATTGCAGAAGAGAATGCTGATTCCGTTCAAAGCAAAAATCTGTTTACCTGCAGTATTTGGGAAGGGAGGTATTTTTCCAGCTCCCCCCCCTCCTTTTTTTTTTCCTTTCAAGTGTGGGTGACTGAAAACCTTTGTCCAACACAATTGTCATCAATATAAAAGGATTCCGACACTGTTTAAATAAATCCTAAAGGTAGATGGTTAAGACACTGGGAGGGGTAGATTTTTATTTGTTGAAGGTTTTTTCTTTTTATTTCCTCAAGGCACCTACAATTTAGAGGAATCTCCCAGCCTTAAAACTCCTGTGGGCCTCACTATAGATTGAGCTTATTTGAAAATTTTTTCATATAGGAGGTGGGCAAGAGGATTTTAGCCTGGCAGGTTCCATGGCTTGGCTCTGCTGGCAGTCCGAGGCATGGCGCCCAAAGGCCACAGCCTTTCACCCACTGGCAGGCTCATTCCATCAGCCTCATTCCTCCACCACAGCTAGCCGGGGTGGTGAGAAATGAGAAACGACAGAATTCCAGCCCCAGGCCCTCTTGGGATAACCTGCCACCTGGTGACACCTGGCCTGGCCACCAGGTAATGCAGGCAGGTACCTGGAGGCTAATGGGAGTGACCCTTGGGCGTCCCCTCCCAGATTACCCCCAGGAGGAGTAATGGCGAACCTGGGTGGAGAATACCTCCTCCCCGCCCCCCCCATATGAAAGGTTTTTTGTTTTAGGGCTGGTGGCTAGAGAACACTAACAGACATCCTCTCTCCACCCGCTTTCTTCTTGTTTTTCCATTCAAAATGCACACATACATCCTCACACCAAAGAAGAAACATGTACCAGTTCTGACCTAAATAGGGCCGTTCTTAAACCCGAGGTATCCCAGAAGCATCGTGGGGTTCAAATGAACACCCACTGATTCCAATTCAGGGGGCTTTGGGCTAGGTCCACACACAAAAATATCTTGATACATTAAAGGGAAAAAAAAGGAAAAAAATATCTTGATAAAGCTCCCAGATGGTTCTGAGACTCACCCCAGGTTAAGAAGTGCTGGCCTAAGAGAAGCCACAAGGGCGGGAGTTCCAAGCATTCCTTAGGGAGGTGGCAGAGTGGTTTGTGGAATCCTGTCATCGAATTTATACGTTTCGTTTTATCCCCCCCACCCCCAGGACCTTTACTCCTTTATAACAGACATAAGGCAAGGGGTAGGAGGGCAATATACTGACAAAGATCTATTCTATTGCTACTGTTAATATCAGAGAAAACCCTTCTAAAAATAGGGTGGGTGCCAGGTTTTGATCGTTGGAAGAGATGGTTCAAGTCTTTCCTTAAGTTTGTACTCATTACCGAAGTGCCAATAAGGAAATTCTGAACTGGGGAGAACAAATGCTTAAAAGTCGAACATTTTCCATCTTCAAAGCCCAAACCAGGGTCTGTAAGCAATTAAAGTTCTGGGACATTAATATTTTTTGACCCTGCGGAAAGGGGCAATCAAATTCCAATCACGTCTCAAAAACATCTGGACAAATTTGAGCAAATGATTTTTCAGCCTTCCATATATTTCTTTAAATTACGCTGTCAACGGAGCAAACCGCGTCCTCCAGCGCTAAATAAATGAGCGCGCCGCCTGGGCCGCGCCTGCGAGAGAAACGTGCGGGCGCACGCAGCGCCGCCCACTGCAGGCCTGAGCCGGCCATAAAACACCAACAATATGACACGGAAGCCAAAGACGGGAGTAAATCAAATAAATAGAAAACCCACTGTAAAAGTTCAAATGAGCTCTAGACCTAAATTTAGCCAGAGATTTACTATTTTCCCCTCTGGAGTTGTAGTAAATTTAACGTCTCTGGAAGATGCCAAACAGCAACGTTGGAAAGAGAGTAATTAGAGCTGCGGGTAGAGATGGGCACACGTGGGGGCCACACAGACACCCTGAGTGAGCACACGTGGCTGTGTGGATATGACAGGGAGAGGTGAAACCCAGGCAGAAATATGCACATCGGGATGGGGAAGAACTGGAACAAGGACCCACGGAGAAGAGATCGGCCTGCTATCCCCAGGGTTGGAGAAGAGAACTCTGAAAAGCCTGCATTCAGAAGCCTAAAGCCATCCTCCCCAGAAACTTGGGAACAGAAGAGAAAGCGACTACCCCAAACCCACAGCCCATAATTAACAGGGGGAGTGGAGAAGGGGGAGGGAGGAGGGGGAGGGGGAGGAGGGAACTACCGGCTGAGCGGGGAGGGTTTCCAAGCCTGCAATACACAGGCTGCCAATCAATCCTACTTATGTGGCTGAGCACTTTCTCTGCCCAAAAAAA